AGGTCAGGGCACCAGAGAGGCAGAGAAACAAAAGCACAGTCCAAAGTATTAGGTCCCTTGCAGAGTCTTAGGTTTACCGGAGATTTGCAGTCAGAGGTGTAAAGCCGAAAGCCATTGTCCAGAGTCAGGTTACACATTCCAGGGTCAGGGAACCAGAAGAACGATGTCATGCAGTCCGGAGTCAATAGCCGAGGGAGTCAAGCAGAGAGTCAGGAAACAGGATGCAAGGTCCGAGGTGCAGCGATTCAATCATGCGATCAGTTGCCAGCATGGATTGGACAGTGAAGACAGCTGCCTTAAAAGCCCGTTCCCCTTGTCACTAATTACTGACTGATTACAGAGTCCTGGCTCCCGTCAATACTCGGGACTCAGAGGATGCCTCCCACACATGCGTTCTTCCCTACCCCGGGTTGTCAAGTCCCGTCTCCTTTGGTCTCGTAAATGAGCTACAGGTGTGGGGGGGAATCAGGGGGCATGGAGCTTGTGCTCGGCTCTCCAGGTGTGAACCTTTCTGGTAGCCGGTGTTCATCCTCTGCAAGACTTAGGTTTTGTACTTCCAGGGGTGCAGGGAGATCGTTCTTGGATGTTGAAGGTGCAGAGTCCCCGGCATCAGGGTCCACTGGGTCAGGCATGACAGTGGGCAGCACGGTGGGCATGACACATGTGGCCAAAGAAGGGGCAAGGGTGCTGAAAGAGAAAGCACCCCACACCGAGAGTGGCCCCGAAGTGGGTGGTACCCACCCTTTCCTCGAATGAGGAGGAGGATGTCCAAGGCAGATAGGCCATCCTGGACAGGTTAGAAGCATTTGAGCAGCATGTGGGTACACCTCCGGCGGGAGCACTCACTGGAGAAGACCCTGATGCTGGGAAAGATTGAAGGTCAAAGAAGAAGGGGACAACAAAGGATGAGATGGTTAGACAGTGTCATCGAGGCAATGGACATGAAATGAAGCAAACTCCGGAGCACGATGGAAGACAGGAGGGCCTGACGTGATGTGGTCCATGGAGTCCCAAAGAGTCAGACTCGACTGTGCGACTGAACAACAACAACAAAACCTGCCACTGTGGTGGTGGTGGGGAGGCAAACTAGACAAACTTATGAACAGGAGAATTCAAGCAGCGGTATTAGTGTGTTTGTCTGCTCTGGAGGGCTGGTGCGGCGAGTCGTCAGGAACCGAAAGAATGGCTACAGTCAGAAAAACATAAGAGACGCCAATGTTGGATCAGGCCAAAGGCCCATCCAGTCCAACACTCTGTAACACAGTGGCAGTTTGGGGGGGAGCTCCGGGGTGGCACCCCATTTGCAACGTCAGCTGGTGGTGACCCAGAGGGATGGCTCACACGTGGGCAAAGGTGGCTTGCCCATCATACGGCCAGGAGGTGGTCTGGAGCGACCCCTGCCCTTGGCTTATTTCTGCACTCCGGGTTTGCCCTTGCCTTTGCTATGGAGCTCTGGTGGCAGTTGTGGGAGGGGGCTGTCTTGCCTCTCCCAGAAGGCACAAGAGGGGCGGAGCTGGAAATGATGTAAGCATGGCTCCGTCCCCCCCTTCCTCTTCCGCCTGCATGCTCAGCCCACCCTCCTGCCCTGTATGCAGTGCAAGCCTTGGATAGTCGCCTTTTGGGGTCAGGCTGCAGCTGCGGCTCAAGTGGTTAAGACACTGAACTGCAGACTGGAAGGTCGGTAGTTCTGCAGTTCGAGACCCGAGTGTGCTGCGTGATGGAGTGAGCTCTCGTCTCTGGCCCCAGCTCCCACCAACCTAGTAGTTCGAAAGCAAGAAAATGCAAGTAGATAAATAGGTACCGCTTCGGTGGGAAGGGAACAGCGTTCCGTACGCCTCGGCGTCTAATCATGCCGGCCACATGACCACAGAAACGTCTTCGGACAGCGCTGGCTCTTCGGCTTGGAAACGGAGACGAGCACCGCATCCCTAGTGTCGGATTCGACTGGCTTTTGAGCAAGCGAAAACCTTTACCCTTTACCAGGAATTTTTTGCCCCTCCTTTTATTGGGAATGGGGGGGGGGTTGCTTTTGCCTACCTTGCACTGTCGTCAGTGGACTCTGGGTAAACTGGGCATGGCGGGAGGGCGGGGTAAAAGTCCAACAAAATAAAATAAATAAATAGGACTGGTCACTTGGCGGGTTAGTGTGGGGAAAAAGGGGAACGGATCTGGCGTGCACCATATGGCACCTTCCCTGTTGGAGGTCAAGGGGCTCCGTCAGGCTCAGCCTTTGGGTTTTGCAGCCCAGGGGCTGGGCATGAGAACTGCTTTTGGGGCTACCCTGGCTAGTCTCCTCCCTTCTGAGTTTCACAGCTTTGGGGGGCCTCCAGAGCGGCACCCTGTTTGCTATGCCAGTTGGTGGCAAGCCAGAGGAATGGCTTGCACCCAGGGCAAGGGTGACTCACCCAACATACAGCAAGGAGGTGGTCTGGAGCGGCCCCTGGCCTTGGCCTATTTCTGTACTCAGGGTTTTCCCTTGCCCACAAAAGATGTAAGTTGTTAATAAAGTGGCCCTTGGTTAAACCCAATCTGGTGTCTGTCTCTTTCTTCCAACAAAGGGAGGGGGGGCAAAGCCCTGACATCTTTCTCTTATTGGGTGGGTGCTCCTAAAGAGGCCCGTCTCGCCTCAACCAGGGCCAGGGCTTTTTCTGTCCTGGCCCCAGCCTGGTGGAATGTGCTCCCTATTGAGACCAGAGCCCTGCGGGATCATAGAATCATAGAAAGTTAGAGTTGGAAGGGACCTTGCAGGTCATCTAGTCCAACCCCCTGCACTATGCAGGAGCATAGCTGAAAGAGAGCCCTACATACCTACAACATACCCTGAAAGATGGCCGTCCAGCCTCCGCTTGAAAACATTCAGTGAAGGAGCATCCACCACCTCCCGAGGGATCTTCTTCAATTCCGCAGGGCCTGCGAGACGGAGCTCTTCCACCGGGCCTTTGGCTGAGGCAGCGGGCGCCCATCTGTGGCCTCCCTGAGGTTGCTGTCACCCGTCTGTCGCCTGTCTACTGACCACCGACAACTGGCCTTTAACCCATTGTACCATCAGGCCAGAATTTTATAGCCAACTTCTGCTCTTCCAAGCTGTATGCATTGTTTTAATTGTTATAATGTTTTATTGTGTTTTAATGTTTAATGGCCATCAGGCCAGAATTTTATAGCCAACTTCTGCTCTTCCAAGCTGTATGCGTTGTTTTAATTGTTATAATGTTTTATTGTGTTTTAATGTTTAATGGCCATCAGGCCAGAATTTTATAGCCAACTTCTGCTCTTCCAAGCTGTATGCGTTGTTTTAATTGTTATAATGTTTTATTGTGTTTTAATGTTTAATGGCCATCAGGCCAGAATTTTATAGCCAACTTCTGCTCTTCCAAGCTGTATGCGTTGTTTTAATTGTTATAATGTTTTATTGTGTTTTAATGTTTAATGGCCATCAGGCCAGAATTTTATAGCCAACTTCTGCTCTTCCAAGCTGTATGCGTTGTTTTAATTGTTATAATGTTTTATTGTGTTTTAATGTTTAATGTTTTGAACTGAAATTGCATTTGTTTCAGTGATGTTATAACAGTGATGTTATGCAAATAAATAAATAAATAAATAAATAAATAAATAAATAAAGGGAAACTTGGTGAAACAGCATCCTTCGTGTCTGGGGCTCAGTAGAAAGCAACCTCCCATTGAGGGAGGAGGACATCATTGGGAACACAGCTCCACCCTTTTCAGGTATGCATGATGAGCCCCCTCTGCCTGTGTTTGAGGGTCAGAACTCATATATAAGATCCTATTAGCTCTAGACGATTGGGAAGGTGGTCACCACACCTCAAAAGGGATATTATAGCATTGGGGAAAGTGCAGAAAAGGGGCAACTAGGATGATCAAAGGGTTGGAACACTTTCCCTATGAAGAAAGGTTAAAGCGCTTGGGGCTCTTTAGCTCGGAGAAACGATGGCTGAGGGTTGACATGATCGAGGTTTATAAGATTCTGCGTGGGGTAGAGCAGGTCGAGAAAGAAGTACTTTTCTCCCTTTCTCACAATGCAAGAACTCGTGGGCACTCCATGAAATTGCTGAGCGGTCGGGTTAGAACAGATAAAAGGAAGTCCTTCTTCACCCAAAGAGTGATTAACACATGGAATACACTGCCACAGGAGGTGGTGGTGGCTACAAGCATTAACGGCTTCAAGAGGGAACTGGATAAACACATGGAGCAGAGGTCCATTGGTGGCTATTAGACACAAGGTATAGATAGGGACTCTGGGATAAGTGATGCTCTGTCTTCTTGGTGTTGGGGGGGAGCAACAGAGGAGGACTTCTAGTGTCCTGGCCCCACTGGTGGACCTCCTGATGGCACCTGGTATTTTTGGCCACTGTGTGACAGAGTGTTGGACTGGAAGGGCCTTTGGCTTGATCCAACATTGGCTTCTCTTATGTTCTTTTATGGAGCAGAGGTCCATCGGTGGCTACTAGCCACAAGGTATAGATATGGACTCTCAGTCAGGGGCAAGTGATGCTCTGTATTCTTGGTGCTTGAGGGGGCAACGGTGGGAGGGCTTCTAGTGTCCTGGCCCCACTGCTGGACCTCCTGAGGGCACCTGATATTTTGGGCCATTGCGTGACAGAGTGCTGGACTAGATGGGCCATTGGCCTGACCCAACAATGGCGTCTCTTATGTTCTTGTGTTCTCTTATGTCCCTCCTCATGCTTGAGATCCCATCAGTGCCATGCACAGAGACGGTGACCAAAACAATTATGCAGATCAGCCATGAATAAAGGCGTGTCCTAGTGCCTCGTTCCGGCATTCAGGGTGTGGTAACGATTAGCTAAGTTGACAAACTAATCTCTTACACAGACTCTTTTGTTTCAAGGTATACATTGCAAAGCCGCTTGAGAGAGGTGTCAAAGAATACATTCTCAACTTAACTCTGAGGGAGGTACAAAAGGCTTTCAGCCTGCCTTGATGGACTAAAACGGTACCAAAACGGAGAAGGAGAAGGCAGGATCATGTTAGGGATACAGGTGTTTCTGCTAAGTTTCCTGGCGTGTCTCCTGATTTTGCACGTTCTGAAACAGAACTGGCCATGCAGCCGCTCTTACCCTCCGGGGCCACTTTGGATTCCAGTCATTGGAGGCCTGTGGAAAATAGGATTCAAGCTCTCTCAAGACTCCTTCAGAAAAGTAAGTATGTAGGAAATAATTAATCTGCAGAGTAAGAGGGCGTGGAATGTTCTCCACACAAGATTCTAGGGCACAGAACTTTTCTAATTTGGTAAACCCCTCACACTGTAGAGCTTTCACGCTTGCCAGGTTCAATCTCTTCCCTTCGGCTGTTTTGACAGGCAGATATAAGGGTATTCCTTATAAAGAAAGAGTCTGTACCCGTCTTTACAATGAACCTGACTCTGTGCAACATATTCTTTTTCTCTGCTCTCATTACTCTTTGCTATGCCATTCTTTGATCCATCCACTCCTTTCTTCTGCAAAATCTATGACCCAATAATGGCCTTGTTTTTTTGTTATCTGACAAATCTCCGGAAATTATTGCATTTGTCGCTGAGTACCTACTATTTGTATGGAAGTTAAGGGTTAAAAGAGCTGCGGTGGCTCAAGTGGTTAAGATGCTGAACTGCAGGCTGTGGAAGGTCGGTAGTTTAGCAGTTCGAGACCCGAGTGTGCCACATGACGGAGTGAGCTCCCGTCTCTAGTTCCAGCTCCTGCCAACCTAGCAGTTCAAAAGCAAGAAATTGCAAGTAGATAAATAGATACCACTTCGGTGGGAAGGGAACAGCGTTCCGTGCACCTCGGTGTTTAGTTATGCCGGCCACATGACCACGGAAATGTCTTCGGACAGCACTGGCTCTTCGGCTTTGAAACGGAGATGAGCACCGCAACCCTAGAGTCGGATTCGACTGCCTTTCAAGCAAGGGTACCTTTACCTTTACCTTTTAAGGGTTAGAAGCTGTAATATTTAGATTTACCTTTCCCCCTCTCTTTATTAGCCTCAAATGGGTTCTGTTTGGTGGAAACTTTTAGTACGGGTATATATGTATTTATCGCTGTCTAGTTTTTTTGTGTGTGTGTTGTTGTATTATTATGCCATTAAAGGTTTCTCTCTATATACCTTGAATGCTTGTTTTGTTTTGCTATTGTAAAACAGGCTGCTATCTGATGTTTTTGTTTGACACTCTTCTTCTTCTTCTTCTTCTTCTTCTTCTTCTTCTTCTTCTTCTTCTTCTTCTTCTTCTTCTTCTTCTTCTTCTTCTCCTTCTCCTTCTTCTCCTTCTCCTCCTCCTCCTCCTTCTTGAGAGCCAGTTTGGTGTGGTGGTTAAGTGCGCGGACTCTAATCTGGGAGAACCGGGTTTGATTCCCCAGTTCTCCATTCACAGCTGCTGGATGACCTTGGGCAAGCCATAGTTCTGATCAGAGCTGTCCTTGAAAAAGAGCAGTTTCTGTCAAGAGCTCTCTCAGCCACACCTACCTCGCAGGGTGCCTGTTGTGGGGAGGGGAAAGGAAAGGAGTTTGTAAGCCACTCTCAGATTCCTTTGGGTAGTGAAGGGCGGAGTATAAATCCAATGTTGTCGTCTTCTTGTTCTTGTTCTTGCTCTTGTTCTTGTTCCTTCTTCTTCTTCTTCTTCTTCTTCTTCTTCTTCTTCTTCTTCTTCTTCTTCTTCTTCTTCTTCTTCTTCTTCTTCTGAGCCAGTTTGGTGTAGTGGTTAAGTGCGCAGACTCTAATCTGGGAGAACCGTGTTTGATTCCCCACTCCTCCACTTGCACCTGCTGGATGACCTTGGGCAAGCCGTAGTTCTGATCAGAGCTCTCCTTGAAAAAGAGCCGTTTCTGTCAAGAGCTCTCTCAGTCCCACCTACCTCACAGGTGTCTGTTGTGTGGAGGGGAAGGAAAAGGAGACTGTAAGCCACTCAGAAACTCCGAGTGAAGGGCGGGGTATAAAGCCAATCTCCTCTTCTTCTGAAGGTTCTCAACCTGAGGCCCTGGAGGACCCCTGCCAGGCTGAATAGACAACACTGACCTCAATGGATTCAGTTGATCTAGAACCGCAGCATGAATGCCCAAGTCAAATGAAAGATCCCTGCAGAATGGAGGAACCCTGGTCTTCACACATTCAAAGAGCACCCACTACTAGGGCTCCCAGGGATCCCGCTAGAGTTTCTGGAAATTCCTAGAGCTACCCTATGCCACTTCTTGGTTTCCCCCAGAAAGGACGTTACATAGAATCATAGAGTTGGAAGGGGCCATACAGACCATCTAGTCCAACCCCTGCCCAACGCAGGACCAGCCTACAGCATCCCTGTCGAATATTCATCCAGCCTCTTCTTGAAAGCTGTCAGTGAAGGGGAGCGAACCACCTCCCTAGGCAGCTGATTCCACCTTTGAACCACTCTGACTGTGAAAAGGGTTTTCCTAATATCCAGTTGATACCTTTCTGCATGTAATTTAAAGCCCTTGCTCTGCTGCCGACTGGAACGGCTCCTTGCCCTCCTCCAAATGACAGCCTTTCAAATATTTAAAGAGAGCAATCATGTCCCCCCTCAATCTCATCTTCTCCACACTAAACATTCCCAAGGCCCTTCCTCGTAGGGCTCAGTCTCCAGACCCCTGATCATCCTCGTAGCTCTCCTCTGCACCCTCTCGATTTTGCCCAAATCCTTTTTGCACACAACATCCCCCCCCATGTCTCCAACCCCCAACTCATGCTGGTTGCCAGGCAACCATGGCATGGCAACCCTATCCCTGAAAGAATTCCTTTTTCCTTCTTTGTCACCTCTGTGCAGCATTTTGTAGGTAGGCTTCCCGAGAATGTTGTAGGGAACATCCCATTTTTGATAGCCACAGTTGCTTGTGAGCTGAGACGGGGAGCTGCTCATCTCACCTGTGCCGCTCAGTGCCTGACTTGAGCATCACGCCAGGCATCTTCTTGCCTGGGCAGTCGGTGGACTGGTGGTTGCAACCTTAATGCTAAGCATCAGAATGAAGAGGCGGTATAGTTCTAAACAGGAGCACAGTTAATAACCCGGGGCTCATTCTCTGTGTGGTGCTGCAGAGACAACAACTTCCTTTCTTCCTGTTCCTGCCCGCACAAAGTCTTGGAATGGACTAGGGCCGGCTACAACACTGGCCTGGATTCAATGAACGGAGGTGTCCAAAACGCCACTATCCTGTGGCCCCTTTGTCAACTATGGTGGTGGAAAGTGCCGTGAAGTCACGACTGACTTATGGCTACCCTGCATGGGTTATCTCCTTATAATCCTACGTAAATGCTATTGAGTTGTAAAGTACAGTAGAATCTTAGGGGGAAACTTAAGAATACTTAACATGGGGAGTTGAGATGAGAATAATGTGATGGAGTTGATCTTTGTCCTTCCCTGTTTGCAAGTATAGCTTTAAATGTCAAGCTTGCTGAGGGTTAGAGTGGAAAGGCAAGAACCAAAGGGCTCTTGCCTAGGGGTGTGCATTCAGGTCGGCTACCTGTCTCTCTTGCCACGAAGAGGGGACAGAGCCTTCACAAGTTCAAACATGCTATGCTGTGCATTCAGAAGACTCTTTGGAACAGGGGTGTCGAACTCATTTGTTATGAGGGCTGAATCTGACATAAAGGAGACCTTGTTGGGCTGGGACATGTGTGTCATAAACTGTTATGCCAGGTAGCGGCAATATAAACTTTATAAAAGACACAAAGGTTTTTTTTAACTTAAAATAAAAACATGCTTAAAACATTAGCACTCTTGCAATATTTTGTTTATTTAACAGTGCCTGATAACTGACACCTCTTGCTCTGAATTATTGCATCAAAATACCTGTGCTGTTGCAATCTTGAGTATGCTGTTCAGGTGTGTATCTGTAAGCTGCAAACCTACGATGATGAAGAAGAAGCAAAAGACAGCCAGTTCCACTGCAGGCCTGATAGAAGCCCTCTGGGGGCCTGATCTGCCCCCCCCCGGGTCACATGTTTGACACCCCTGCTTTAGAAACTCCCAAGCAGTCCATCCGATTTTACAGGTAACAAGCTAGGGGGGTGCCCAGGAGAGAAGAAGTTCAATAAGGTTGTGGAACCCTCTGCCACTATCCTGGTCCTTGCTTTGCCATTTTCACCTAGTCTGTGTCTAATAATAAAGGGGGAAGCTCATGCCAAGTTTGAAGCTTTTTTGATGCACTGCCATACAGGTCGCCAGAGGCAGATGGTTCTGTTGCTGGGCAGTAGTGCATTCAATGCACTGGTTCTGCTGCCTTTGCAAAAAGAAAGGCCCTACTTCAGTTTGTGGAGCAGAGATTCTCAGGTTTGAAGTTGGTCCTGTTGGGTTTTAATGTGGAACTTGTTCTGCTGGGCACATAGCAGTGTTAGGCTCCTAGCAAACAAGCAACCTCCAGAACAGTTAAGTTCCCTGGAGATTCTCTGCGGGAGTCTGACTGCTGTGCTGTGCTGATGCCTAGGGTTTTTTACAGCCTTAGAAAGCCATAGAAAGCATATCCAGACAGACTGGGAGCTATTAATACCAGCATCTTTCATATACCTGTCATTCCGATTTGTTAAAAGTGGCATAGTTTCATTTACATAGGGATGTCTTCCACCCCCTTAAAGTTCATTTAAATAATTGCCACCAGAAAGCAATAAAATGATGCAGACAGCCGATGCTGTGCCAAAACAATAGGAGAGCAGATGAGACATGATATGCAGACAGAAATTTGAGAAACAATGTGGGATCGTTGGCACAATGGCAGGAAAGACCAATGCAGATTCAGCCAATGAGTCGGTGGCAATAGGCTGGGACAGGTTAATGGGCTTTGTGTCTGCCTGCATAGAGAGTAAACCGGCAAACAGTTGTGAGCTGCTTGTAGGCAACCTGAACCCCATTCGCAAACTAATCAGCTCCATGTTTGCCATTGGGAAGCAAGAGCCAAACCTTTCAGTCCTGAAGTAACTCTAAACAAATGGGTGACCGGTGACCTACATACCCAAAAGTTGTTGAATGTCATAAGGCTTCAGTATGTGTGATCATGCCAATCTATTTGACAGATGTCTGACAGTCTGGAGAACCACCACAAACCGGTTCTGACTGGAGCTAAGCTGAGCTGTCTCACAGTGACACAGCAGTAAGCTGATTGGCTGGTTAGTGTATATAAGTGTATGTAGTCTGTACAGTATATTCCTTCTTCTTGTATGAGCGTATGGCAGAGCACTTTGATGGAGAAGGCTGTATATATGAAAATAAATCATTGTATATAGTTAACCACAAGAACTGTGTGAGTGTGGTTTACTGCAGTGGAATCTTATCAGAGTGCAATTTGGATCTTAAGCTGAGAGCTGACCTGGTGACGCACACTGCGCGACAGACTGCTCGACAGGGTTATGGGCCAAGTATGCGCCAAGCCCAGGGTCAAGCCTGAATCCAACCTAAGTCCAGCATGAGCACTCAAGTGCTAAGAGGTCTGTGAGCTGTGAAGTCAGGAGCCGAGAGTTTGTCGACTGTTGTTCTTCGTGGAGGAGAGGAGGACGACTTGCTCGGTAAAGCACCTGGCACCAGCACAGAAAAAAGGAGTTAAAAGATATCAGTTCGGGGGAGTCGATGGAGCTGGAGAGCGTCTGGTAGCTGTGGAAAGTGTCCAGCATGACTCAGGTACTGACTGGCCAGTGGGTGGATAAGCTCACGTCAACTAACTATGATATGTGGGAGCTACGCATGAGACATTATCTGAAACGTGAGGGTCTTTGGCTGTATGTGGAGAACCCTCCAGACCCAGTCCCTATTGGAGATGTGCCAAAAGTTGAAAGGGCACTAGCAAATTATTTTGGCTGTGGGAGACGACCAACTAGTACATGTAGCCACTGCCAAAACAGCAAAAGAGGCTTGGAAAAGTCTGAAAACAACGCACGGAAGGAACTTTGATAGCCTTAACGCGTCGGCTTTACTGAAAGATTCAAAAGCCAGGTGAGCCAAGAAGAGAACATTTGAACTCATTAACTGAATGCTTTCACCAGCTAGAAGAGAGAGGCAAAACAGTGTCTGCTGAAAACCGAGTTTATATTGTACTTAGCTCGTTATCTTCTGAGTACAACATGCTAGAAATCTCTCTGGAATCCATGCAGGCTGATAAGCTAAGCTTGGAATATGTTGTTGGCTGGCTGCTGGATCAGGAGGCCAAACATTCCACACCAACTTGGCAGAGTTCCCAGACAACAGAGGCAGCTGGAGCCAGAAGCAAGGCATGCAGTGGAGAGAGTTACAAGGCTTTGTGGGTGAGAAAGTGTTTTATCTGTGGATCCACAACTCATCTAAAAAGGAACTGTCCTAAGCAGCAGAAGAAGGTGGCAACAACTGAGCGCTCTGACATGTTGTCGAGACGCAACAATGCATCTCTGGTGGTAGCAGGAGCAGCACAGAGTAAAGATTCATGTCTAATTGACTCTGGCACCAGCCAAATATTTTGTAGGGATGAGAGTTTGCTCAACAATAAGCAACAAGCACAACAACAGCACGTGACTCTAGCCGACGGAAGCAGTGCAGATGTGACTTGTATTGGTGAAATTACTTTTCCAGCACTCAAGCACATGTTCCAGAATGTCCTATGTGTTCCCTCTCTGGACTGTAACTTGCTGAGTGTTTTAGCCCTTGACAGGGCAGGTTTCAAGGTAATTTTTGCAAATGAGTTGTGTAAAATTAAGCAAGCTTGGAGGGAGGTTGCTAAGGCAAAGTTGCATAATGGTGTTTATGTGCTTAACAACACTCTCGGGGTAGCTATTGCCGGTGTGACAGGCAATATAAATCCTCATGATGAATGTTTACACCTCCTACACAGGAGAATGGGGCATGTTAGTTTTTCCAGTCTTAACAAAATGTTAGCACTTACCAGTAAAGTGGGAGTGAAAGAATGTAGTAACTATTTAGACTGTGATGTGTGTAAGCAGGTTAAGTCAAAAGCTTTTCTGGTCGCAAAGAAAAGTGAAAGGATGACTAAGGAACCTCTGGAGTTAGTACATGCTGATGTAATGGAACCTTTCCCACAAAGTTTGTCTAACAACAAATCATATATTCTAATAGCCAACAGAGGGCGCCGTGCGGATACTTAGACTGAGGGAAAGGAAGCTCCGTGGGCCTCAGAATCTTCTCCTACATACCCAGCATGCTTCCATTATGTGCACAAAAATCGAAAAAGTGAGAAAATCGCTCCAGGGATGACTGAATTCCCCCTAAAACCCTTTGGGCTCTGCTTCAGACACCAAAGGTGAGAGAGAGGTTCTTCGTGGAGGAGAGGAGGACAACTTGCTCAGTAAAGCACCTGGCACCAGCACAGAAAAAAGAAGGAGTAAAAAGATATCAGCTCAGGGGAGTCAACGGAGCCGGAGAGTGTGTGGTAGCTGTGGAAAGTGTCCAGCATGGCTCAAGTACCGACTGCCCAGTGGGTGGAAAAGCTCACGTCAACTATGATATGTGGGAGCTACGCACAAAACATGAGGGTCTTTGGCTGTATGTGGAGAACCCTCCAGACCCAGTTCCTGTGGGAGATGTGCCAAAAGTTGAAAAGGCACTAGCAAACATTATTTTGGCTGTGGGAGACGACCAACTAGTACATGTAGCCACTGCCAAAACAGCAAAAGAGGCTTGGAACAGTCTGAAAACAATCTATGTTCAACGCACGGCAGGAACTTTGATAGCCTTAACGTGTCAGCTTTACCGAAAGATTCAAAAGCCAGGTGAGCCAATAAGAGAACATTTAAATGCATTTACTGAATGCTTTCACCAGCTAGAACAGAGAGGCAAAACGGTATCTGCTGAAGACCAAGTTTATATTGTACTTAGCTCCTTACTGAGTACGACATGCTAATCACCTCTCTGGAATCCATGCAGGCTGATAAGCTAAGCTTGGAATATGTTGTGGGCCGGCTGCTGGAACAGGAGGCCAAACATTCCACATTCTCTTGGCAGAGTTCCCGGACAGCGGAGGCAGCTGGAACCGGAAGCAAGGCATGCAGCGGAGAGAGTTACAAGGCTTTGCAGGTGAGAAAGTGTTTTATCTGTGGATCCACTACTCATCTAAAAAGGAACTGTCCTAAGCAGCAGAAGAAGGTGGCAACAACTGAGCACTCTGACATGTTGAGATGCAACAACACATCTTTGGTGGTAGCAGGAGCAGCATAGAGTAAAGATTCATGGTTAATTGACTCTGGCGCCAGCCAAATATTTTGCAGGGATGAGAGTTTGCTCAACAACAAGCAACAAGCACAACAACAGCACGTGACTCTAGCCAACAGGAGCAGTGCAGATGTGACTTGTATTAGTGAAATTACTTTTCCAGCACTCAAGCACACGTTCCAGAATGTCCTATGTGTTCCCTCTCTGGAATGTAACTTGCTGAGTGTTTTAGCCCTTGACAGGGCAGGTTTCGAGGTAATTTTTGCAAATGAGTTG